ATTTCGTCATTTACTTTCAGTAAAGGAATTTCTTTATGTTGCCTTCCAAATAATGATTTGACCATTTTAGACCAGTTTTTACTATTAACGGGTTCGTTCATAATTTTATCAGATAATTTCTTATAGTAATCTGTTTTGGCGTTTTCAACAGCAGTATTACATTTATTTCTAACTTTTCTAAATTTCTCCCACTGATAGGGTGTGTTCGATCGTTTGGCTTTCTTATGGGATCTTTTTTTTTTCTTTATAATTTTTTTCAGTATTGTAGTTACCCATGGGGGGTCGCCTTTTTTAACATTTATAAATCGGTTTGGGATAACTTGCTCTGCGATTTCGAGAATAACGTTAGTTATGTTTATGGTAGTTTTTTCCACATCATCTGCGACGAACAAAGAATCCCAATTTATGTCCGAAAGGCGTTGTCTATATGATTCATAGTCACCACGATCGTACAGGTAAATTTTTCTCCTAATGGGATGATCATTCTTTTTAATACAATTAATAATACCTATAACTGGCAAATGATAACGCGTTTGTTCAAGTAGAGGTGGACCGACATCGGTGTAAAGAATACTATTTGGATTGCTTACAATGACTAAATCTAAAATTGACGAACTGTATTCAGTAAAATAAGTGTTTTCTTCAATTAATTGATTAAGATTATATTGAGCAATTAAGTTTGGAATTTTGTCATTGGGATTTTTATTATTTTGGTTTATATTAAAATCGCCTGTAAGGATTATGTCTTTATTAGCAGAAATATCAAGGTCAACTGAATGATAAACATTGTCCCATGTTTGTTGTGAACTATTTGGGGGTATGTAAAATGTTCCATATAAATAGGATTTGTTTTTCTATTTTAATTATATCCAGACGCATTCTAAACTACCTATCTGCAAGTCGGGTCCATGGACGCAGTTAATATTTTCTTTTATATACACTACCACGCCACCGCCGACGCGATTAGTTCTATCATTACGAAACAGTTTATATGATGGAATTGAAATGTCGGTATCATTTACAGATGGATTAAGCCAGCTCTCAGTAAATGACATCAAATCATATTCAGTATATTCTATTGATAATCTATTTAGCTTAGGGGCTAAGCTTTGGACGTTTAAATGAATAAAGGATATGTTATTTTCTAAGAGTGAGGTGAGGTCAAACGAGTTTCTACTAACGGTACTATCAGAATTTTCGTCTAAGTGCTTAGGTCCGGGATTTAGTTCAACACCTCCGATAATCAATAATAAATTAATTAGTAGGCACGTTAAAACTAATATACATACTGACCTAGTCGTTGCTTTTTCGGATCCAAAACAAAATTCGAATTTATCGTGAACCGATTTGCCGTTTTGGTCGTTTTTCTCCGTCAAACAAAAACATACAAACACAATGACAGGGAATATCTTCAATCCATGCGTTTTAAGTAGACAAACACACATTAAATCATTTTTTGACATCCAATACTTTCTATTGGAAAAGCGTGCGAGAGGGTAAAATAAACCTGTTTTCTCTCTGAACTGTGTACAATCAATACCAATTATGTAATGCCAGTTTCTTGAATGAATAGGTCAAAAGAGAGTACAGGCTTACATGTATCATGTAAAGAAAAGTCAGCAACCGAAGCCACAACTATAGAAATGATGTGATGTGTTTCTGGACAAAGGTGCAGTAAGGAAGCATAATAAGTGCTAATTGGGATAAAGATGGGGGATGAGTGGTGCACAATTAAACAAGCAGTCAAGTAGACTGCAGTGAAGAAAAACGCATTCGAGTGCATTAATGACAATTCGAAGGAGGATTGGAGTTTTGAAGATTAATAAATTGTTCATGTTAATTTATAAAGTAACTTTCATACATATCATTCAAAATAAAAAAGATATATGTTGATGTATATTTTTTGTTTCCATTGGACTTACATGTTCTAATTTTGTATACTATATAAATAAATCTAACAATGCAAAGAAAGAAAAAAAAATAAAATAAAAATAACCCACTTGTTTTGTTTATCGTTAAGCATATTTATACAAGTTTTTGACCCATATTTTTTAAACTGAAAACTTATTTTACATTAACAACTATATAGTACGCACACTCATTCAGACCAGACACTATCCAAATTGTCACCAAATTAAAAAAAAGAAATTCTGAAAAGATAGAGAAAGAAAAATAATTGCGTTGTCGATTGTTGTTGTTTATAAATAATTCAATTTGATTGGTTACTACAACATTTCTCACTGATTTTTTTCGTTTACCATAATTAGGTCATAGTACAAGTTTTTCTATTGGCAAGTAAATAAGGTCATTGTAATTGGGATCTTAGTTTACCGTTGACGTATAGTTAAATTAAGTTTATAAGTGGACAATAGCATTATGAATTTGAGTTTTTTGCCGGTATTCAACATATCATAATTACGTATAAAAAGAAAGAAAAAAAAATTAAATAATTAGGTCTCATACCATGCAATTAACTGACTAAACGATGTTAATGTCGATAAACTTAAGATACTGTACATATAGATGAGGAATAGAATACAAGGTTGCTCACGTGAATAATAAGTCACAATAATTTTACTGTTTAAATGCAGTCAATCTCAAAGTTAATGAAGATTTTATTAAGTGTTAATAAGTTGGATTCATAAGCATGTCGACTGAGAGATACTCGTGATCCAGTTTTGCCTTGATAACTGCTTCGTTAAAGTCATGTGCATTGTTGATATAATACACTGTGCCTTTTGTAACTTTCAAGTAGATCTTGCCGTTGACAGACCAGCATTGTGCAGCACCTTTTTGTTTGGTAAGGCATCTGGTGTGGTAGTACAGTCTGTTCCTATATTTGGTCAGGTCTTCGTTCATATAGACGTTGTTATAATTCCTGGACGATTTGAGGTGTTTTCGACATCTCAGGATTCTTATCTTTGTGTTTGGATTTAAAACCCGTACCATGATTTGTCGTGGTTGTTTCTTGGATCTCGTGTTGTTGTTATCATATGATTGTTCCGTTTCTGAGGTAATGAATTCAGCTGAAGTTTCGGAACTTTCTGCAGCATCGTCTGTGGGTGTATTTGAATTAGGCGATGAAAGAGGGCCATTTCGATGAGTCCTTTCGACATCTAAATCGTTAAAGTCAGGATCAATTTCTTTAAAAAGCGATCGTACAATGAGGTCGGTGTTTTCGCCTGCACTTTCTGGTATTCCTGACACACGTAAGAGAGAGCGTCTACCGTACTGTTGTAGGTTGTCTACTTTCTCCATCAAACGATTTCTGTCAATTTCCAATTGTTCAACTCTATTTTTCAATGGTTTTATTTCGAAATCAACAATTTCTTTTATCATGTGATTAAATTTCGACACCAACTTTGATTCAACGGCTTCTGCTATTTTGTCTATATCTGAGTCGGACAGCGACAGTTGAGCAGATACGTGTTGATCGGACGTTTTGGCATGATCAGGTTTATTACATAGAGCCATGTCTATAGATTAAGGCACTAGAATAGATTTAGCAGTATCAGATTTGTTTCTTTTCGCGTCGGGTTGTTCTGGTGGCGTAGGATTGCTCGTACGTTCCTGGCGCTTTTTAAAATTTGGTGTTTGTGACATTTATCAAGAATGCAAATCAACGTAAATCTTTTATGTATATTATGTATGTAATGTGTTGTGAGTATCTACAGAGTCAATGTTTTTAAAGTATTGTTCATTGATCAGTTATTTAAACACTTACTAAGGTCCATGAGTGAAACTCACACGAGTCCAACAATAACAAATTCCAACAAAGAATAAACACGATAAGTCCTTTGTTTTCACCAATATAAAGTCATTTCTGTCAGATTATATCACATAAAGTCACCACATTGATAATTTTACTTTCTCCAAAACTCCAGAGGAGGAGGAAAACTATTATTTTTACATATTTTATCTCTCTGCTAAAATACTGCGGCTATCCACCGGAGCATGCTCTATTGTTTTTGACTTTGTTTTCGATAATAGAAATTAAAGTTGAATAAGGCATCTTAAAATATATGTATGTCTCACGAATATAGTATACCTGATTACATCTTCATTTTGTATTTCACTGAATCTCGAAACAGTAGATAGCCTAACAATAATTTTCTTTCTTAAAATGAGCAGTGCCAACATTCGCAATTTAGGTACACATTCTTATCAAGTCATTTTTTTTTTAATTTGGAATGAATTATATTCTATAAACACACTCTTGTATTTGAAGTTCATCCTGCTTGTATGGGTTTGGATCGTTTTTTGTACTCTAAAAAAGAGGCAAAGGATAAAAAGGAACATTCACGACTTCAGTCAGAAATAAAATGACAGCTCCATGGCTAAAAAGACAACATAGAAAACCAACGACTAAGCAGCCATAAACCCAGTCAAAACTGGAGGTGATCTCAACAGTTTCGAAAGGGTCATCAGATCCTGCTTTACATGTGATACCCGTAGTGTAGCTCATGAAAGTACAAACTAGTGATAAGTCTAGTTTGGAGGGTCACATTCGGGGAAAAAAAGACGTTTTTAAGTTACGACAATTGGAACATATCCGCTGTCATATGCGAGTAAAATACTCCATAACGGTCAATCAACTCGTGATGGAGTTCATCAAATTTACGAAGGAATGATTTCAACTTAATCACTCGTAATGTTGGTTTAATAGCTTCTTTTGAAATACCACCAGGATTATAAGGAAAACCTGCAGAATCAACAGCAGAATTAGAGGGAATTACTGGCACTGAAATGGGCAGTATCAGATAAATTCAAGGATTACTTATATGGAACGAAATTTACCATCTAAGACTCATTGATAACATTCTCTGTAAATAGATTTGTAAGTCAATAACATGGAAAACCATAGTTGTCCAGTAGGAAATATTTGAGTATTGTATTTTAGGTATTGTCATCTAGAATGAATAGAGTTATCTTTCTTTGTTCTGATTATTTGTATTTGTATTGCAGGGTCATTTCTTATATTACACAATAAAACGAATCCATTGATCCTGAGGTGTTTATTTTAATATACGACTAAAACAACCTGAAACCCTCTACCAAGAAAATCCTGATAGGAAATGCAAGCCCTGGAATATAAACTCTAAGATATAAACTCTGTATGGTTACATATTAAGCGATTCAACGTTTATATCAACATTTGGATTTCCCGATAAGTTTGCGTCGGGAATCACACCATATACATTTGTTGTTCAATTGCATATCTGATGCAGTAAAAGTGTTCCGTTTAATGTTCTTATGAACTATATTTTATTTTATCAAAAGTATGATTAATAGAAAAATAAATTTCCTATATTATACACATGAAACTTTATCGAAAAACAAAACTGAAAACTTTGAATAAACAGCTACTACAACTGTGATTCATTTATATTATATGCAAACAACTAGAGGTACAAAATTCAGAGTATATTACATTATGTATTCCTATTACTACAATTACATTTATATATGAATCATATATTTTGCAGGACACAATTAAAGTCCAAGACGTGCAATCAAAACTTTGTACACCAGGGTACAAGTAAAGTAGTAATGTTGCTTCAAATCAAGCATTTGTAAACAAATCACAAGCCTTTTGCCAATCTGTGGTAGTACACACCATAAATGTTTTGTTTTCCCGTGCACTGCAATTCAACAAATACATTTAAAAGCATTATATATCTATAAGCATGTTATTGTTAATTTTGCAATTTTTTTTATCTGTAATAACTTAGCTTGATATTGAATTCTATTACAAGTTGTAAAATGTTTAGAAGTAAAGTAAATAAGTCAAAGGTCAAATGTTATATCGTGTTTCTATATTTCTTGCTTTTAAATCAGATAGACATAGTTTCTTCTACATTTTTGCCAGAGAACTATTTGATATCCTTGACTTCTGTTCCAATCGACACTAGTATACGGTATCTTTTTAAGTTAAGAAAGACATGTCACGAATACCATTCAAAATTTGTCGAACATTAACATGGATTACTGCCCAAGATAGATGTCTTTTAAATAATCCAACCCTCCAGTATGTACGCGTTCCAGAGCAAGCATCAACCTGTATATTGTAGGTTTTACTTCTCCTGACAATTTCCATTTTCTCAGGATGTCTTCCATCTGAAGGTACATATCCCTTGGATGCCGAGTCATTGTCTCCTCTATCGAACTAACACTTATTCCTAACTCAATTCCGAGTTGTATAGGGCAGTTACTAAGGTTCTTTGGGAGACCTTGCAAAACATCATCATGTGGAACTTCTTGTAGTCGAAAATCTGCAATATCTGTCAAAAGAGTTATAAATTATATGATATATATATAGATTCTACCACTGCATCAAGTGGGATACGATGTATATCCACTCGAGACGGATCAATTTAATAATTTCACACGCGAAGCTTGCAGAGCGTTTTGAATATTTAACAGTTAACAGTCGAGAGTTGATACTTATCTTATTGCACGAAATTTGGTGGTGGAATATGTTTCTTTTATGAATTTTACACGATTAACAAATGAGCTGCGTCGGAAAGAAATCGACCTTATACAAGTGCACGTATACATATACATTTAAAAGACTTTTGATTGGTTTTAGAACATTCAAATAGAATATAAAAGATGCATTGTGGTCTGTTTAGTATGGGTCTTATAGCAACTCAATTTTTAAACAGTTACAGACTTTGCATAAAGATGTATTCAACCCGAAATAAATGAACAGATGCATTGATAATGGCAGATATTTGTTTGCATAAGGTCGATTTCTATCCGACGCTCAAATGTAATCCTTTATCATATTATTTGGAAAAAGATGTGTTCTTTCTATATGACGTCATAAGGCATGGTTGCCTTATTTTATTACGTCACAATGGTAATGTGGGAGGAGGTAATGAAAACTTGACGTCATAATCGAATACTGACCAGTGAAAAATTGAGATCAAACGAAAACAAAAATTAGGTCGGGAAAAGGATAACAGACGGTCAACAATTCGATTACTGTTTTTGTTAGAGAAATGTGAATGGGCGTGTTTGTTATCAATAAGAATCGATGAATCAGTTTCATAAATGCATTAAAGCTAAGATCTTTGATTAAAAATATTAAGCAAATAAGAGAAATTGTGACTCGATAAATCAAAAGCAAACAGATAGACAGAATGAATTGATAGAAACAAATGCAAAGGGACAAAGCGGTAAAATAATTCGTGTATATACTCAATACATATATAGAGATATTTATTTCGAATTTTCGGTTACAATTTAAAGCTTCAGTGATGATCAAATGAACCAAATACATGCTTAAAATAGAAGTGAAATAAAATGTTATGCTAGAGTTGATGAAGTAAAATTAATAATGTTTTCAATTCGGATACCACTAACTGGTCCTAATTTAGGATCAATGCAATTTGAATCTTCAAACATGACCCAAAACATAAAAAGAAATACCACAACTTAAGATCACAGAAGTTTATCGATGTTCACAACCCGCCATTCGTCAAAACAAAACAATAAACACAAATTAAGGGAATGGCATGAACGTAAAAATAAGCGAATCTGGATTCCGCAACAGAATGAGCGTCTCCAGCTACATGTAAGCAGACATCATTCGCCATATTAATCCACACTAAGAAACAATGATGACCGTATAACTGATTTTGTATTTTAACAGAGACGCTCATTTCTGCAAATGATCTAAAAGAGACAATAAAAACATAATTCGAAAAAAAATTTAAACAGCTTTAAAAAAATATAAAATAGAGTAAACATTGAAGGAGTTAAATATACATCGACAAGATTTTTTGTTTATCAAATTTTTAAATAGTCTATGGTCGGGTTGTTGTCTCTTTGACACATTCCCCATTTCCATTCTCAATTTTATATACAAATATGTTCCACGATGTATACTGAAAAGGTTTTATATTCGCAATCAGGAATTGGTTGTTCTATAGGATTATGTATTTGTCTCAAATCCCTAGACATTAGAAACCAGCTAGTTTTCAATAGCTACCGATTGCTGTACAGTTTTAATAGAACAAAAAGTGTTCTGTTTTCATCTGTGTAGATTTTTATGATTTTTATCTTTCGCCCCTCTTTTATGGTAATAAGTGTGATGCAAAGGAACAATTTTGTAATGTTTTTAACGTGTTGGTAATTTTGAAATTTGGTTTTTGCATGTAAAGAATAATAATAGACATTCTTACCTAGCAAATGTGTGTCTTCCCTAAACACCTGAAATGAAATTATTCGATCAAAATATTCCGTTAACAGATATATTTTGTGTATGATCAATAATAAAAAAAAAACCTTAATAAAATTGAGAACGGAAATGGGGAAAGTGTGAAAGAGACAACAACCCGACCAAAAAGCAGACAACAGCCGAAGGCAACCAATGGGTCTTCAATGCAGCGAGAAACTCCAGCACAAAAAAAAAGGAACTATTTGTTAATCAAGTTAATCTTTAAGGGTATCTAGCTACGAGATATATAAAAAACATTAGATTATGATTTTTATTGTTCTATCATTAATGAAATTGAAATAGTGAACTAATAAATCGCTTTTAGCAGCCAGTATGATTCAACTTTGTCAAAATAAGTTAAGAAACATCGATTGTGAATTATTCACTTCAAAGTGAATAATTCGAGCTCATTGAATCCGTATTCATGTGAACTTCAATTTAAACCCTTAGCTAGAGATGGATTTCGCATGATTTATGCGTGTTCCGTTTTTAACAGAAAAGAATGTCAACATTGAAAGTGAATCAAAGGTAAATCATTTGATTGATTGATTCGATCCACAAGAAATCATTCTTCATCGTGAAACCAAACAGACATAGAAAAATCAAATTGCACGAGATCGCTATCTATTTATATTTATGTTTATGTTTATATCTTGTTATGTTTACGTCGGTAGTTTTCGGAGGTCATCTTGATAGTTAATTAAATGGCGTTTAGACTAAAATACATACGAAATTCTGGTACATATTATCTAGTATATGCATTGTTCATTTAAGACTTATTATAATTTGGATATGTGTTTTAGTATGTTTCAAATCAAATATGGTGAACATGATTTTAAGAGCAAACGCCCCTTTAAGAATTTCGTAAGAGCTAAAAATAAACATTTGGCCACCAGCTAAATAAATACTTTAAATAAATGTATTGTTGGTATACGCATTTATAGCTATTCTAAAAGTTTTGTTATGTGCACCATCTTTGTTTTACTTAACAAAGGATGTGCAATAAACCAATATCGGTCGCCAGATTCCTGACCAAAGACCAGTACAAACGTTCTCAATAATCAAAATACACTTAATTTTGATTAAACTATCGTGCAAAAATATGCGTTAATCACATAAAGAAAGAGCAGAAATAACAAAAGAGTCATAACAATATTAAAACAAAGAAGGAGAAATGACAACTAATATTAACTATTAAATTTCAGGGAAAAACAGCTGTATGATATGTTTGCCTCAGGGGTGGACACCTTTTATTCATCACAAATTGTGTTTCGTTTTCGAAGATGTTTTAAATGAAAGATCGACACAATTTACAAAGTTAAGTAATTTTTCATCTTTGCAAATGTGTGTTGTTTAATTATGATTAATACATGTACATTTTTTACCGCTACATTCAGTCGCTACTTCACTGATAATGTACCTTTGTCAATTGATATATTTCGTACACTATATATTAAATACATCTGTTCAAAACGGATGCCCAATCGAGGGAACCAAACAAAAAAATGTGCTTCGATTCCGCTGTAGAACAATTTTCTCTTCCTCTTGAACCAAAAAAACGAAGCCTGCTTCTTAAGCGTTATTTGCCAAGAAAATAGAATAAAAACCGCATGGTTCTAAAGAGCCTGTGTCGCTAACCTAGGTTTAATCGACAACGGATTCTCATCAAAGTTGTAGACAAATAAATAGAAATCATGACAAACCTTTCTTTAATGTTGATCTTGTGCTGCTGATCATTTTTATCTGTTTAGTTTCTATCTTGATTAGATTTTGTTCAAAACACAAAAGACGGTACAAAATCTTTATTCCTATGAAAATGGACAATCTTTTAGCTTTATCGGCAAAATTTGACTTGTTTGTAAATCTTGACTTGCTAATAATTTTCATTTTTTTATTATTAAAACTTTTTATTTTCTATTTTATTCATATTAGGCAAAACGCGAATAAAATAATTTGATATTCATTAAAGGGCAATAACTCAAAATAATAGTCGGAAAGTTTCCTCTTAAATGTAGAATGTGTCTTCCTGATAATTTTTGCTTATTCAAGTTTTTATTTATCTATTATAATTCTATAGATATATGGCAAAAACGCAAAAAATGGCAAGAATTGTCATCAAAGGACAATAACTCTTATAAGGAGTAGACTGACGATTCAGATTATCAACCTTATTCATAGAATTTTTCTTGCTGATCTTTTTTGCAACTTTAAGTCTTAAAGTCTCTCTATATCTAATATACATGTAGTTGGCAAAAATGAAAAAAAAAATTTGGTAAAATGTTTCATTCAAGTGCAATAACTCCTACTATAAGTCTAAACAGTTTTGAATTCAATTAACAATTGGTAGAATATTCTGAGCATTATGTCCTGTCAGATCTTTCTATTTACTTTAGTTTTGACAATAAAAAACAAAACTTACATTTTACACTTATGTTTTTTTAGCCATGTTGGCCATCTTGGCTTGCAAGTAGGGTCATCGAACACCTTTTCTAAAGTAAATACCCCCATGATGATTGTGGTAAAGTTTGGTTACGTTTGATCAAGTAGCTCAAGAGTAGAAGATTTATGTAAAAGTTAACCGATTGTTAATATCTTATTTTAAAGCGTCGATTATTAGATAAGAAATAATACAGAGGATAATTGAAATTTTACAGAGCAAGCTATATACTATGAAATCTTAAACTATTGCTTATTGGAATGAAATATACTCCAAAGAGACAGGGAAGTAACCACTATCAATAAAGTATGATTGTAAAAACATAAAAAAAAGAATAAAAAAGACTTTTCAAACCTTGCAAAGTAAATGCCTTTTGTCGCCAACTGCCTTCAGTGCATCTAGCAAGTTGTTGAATGATTTTTTTGGTCTTCCCACTATGTTTTTCGTTTTCCAGAAATTCAATGCCATGATTTTGATAATAACAGGCATGCGTGTGTAACTGTACTCAAAATCTTCCCAGTCATTCAGTTGTATCCCGAGGTGAATTATCAACTCCCTACAACTTTGAATATTCAGTTGATAGGCAAGTCTTGATAGATGTTGCTCACTTGGTGACATTGCCAGGACAGTTTCGTCAAGACCTGAATATAAAAAAAAATAATCTCATAAAAAGAGACAATAATCGTAGACATAGAATAAACAAGTATTTGTTAAATCGTTTTCGAACAATAAAGAATTCATTAACATTTAAATGTTTTTGCATAGCTAACAACAGTTGTAAAATATATATATCATATATATATATCGAGCCTTTTATGCATTAACGTATTTAATGCATGAAAAACGAAGCTTTGCGTGAATTAGATATGACAATGAGCAATGCATGGCTACAAATGATTTGTAACATAAAGTTATTTTCATTGACTAGCACCCAGTTGATCCCGCACTTGGTGGACTGTTAGTTCCGACGGTTTATCATCAGCTCGGTAGTCAGTGCCCCGTTACTGACATAATTTAAAATATAATGGAAGTAGATTCGCCATTAATTAAATCAAACATTATAAAAAAAATATGGTCCCAGATATCTTGGCCAAAGTTTATGATCGCTGAATTTGGCTATCTGTTGGGTCTCTTTTGGTCACAACGCTAATCTGGTTTGAAGATTGTAACATATGCATGGCTTTCTTTCTTTAGAATTAGATCGTTCCTAATGAACATGATGAAGGTTAATTCAACCAAGCGCTTTGAACACGAAAGTTTTAATGTTATTTTTAAATATGAGCACTGAACCGATACTGCAAGTGGTGGTTCCTTAGGGTATCATCAGCTCAGTAGTATGTGGTCTAGTGATTGATTCATAACATACTTATCGTAGATTCTCCATCAATGAATTTTAAAACTATTATCAGGCTTGTTGACCTTAAGGAAATTTTGCATCCGTTTAAAGTCCCCTTTTGTCTTAAAGCTACACATGTGGTATTTCATCTTTTGATTTCAAATTGCAATTAATCAGAGAAGCTTGTCAGACGCACGAAATTTATGAAATTTTATTGTTTTCCACTTGAAGCTAGAAACCCGTCCTCTTTTCCTCAATTTATTTCATTATCGAATATGATTTATAACCGTTTGTTGGCCATTAACAAGACATAAGGTGCCAAATTTGGTACAGGAACTGTTGATATTTCAACTGCAGTTTTAGATGGTTCTTGCTTCTGTATTTTTTTTTCTGTGTAGTGTATTGCATTTCGTTGTTTGTATTTAATTGTTTTTCTTCCACCGGTTGTCGGATTTCTTCGATTAATGATAATTGATTCATCCTTACTACCTACTCTAGCTTTTTAAGACAATTGGCCATGCACATTCATCCTACCTGCGTATTATAGAACTATATGCATTAAATGAATCCTCATTTCGCATTATAAATTATAAACTTAATTACTTTACCTGGACAATTGGATGGGCATTCTTGCTGTGTCTGAAAAACATTTTGAAGAGACACGATGATTAATGATATAAATTAAAATATATATAGGTACGTCATAACTTAAAATGGCATAAGCAACAGTTTAGATAGAAAATTAAAAGTACGAATCTTTTTGTTTCAAGTTTTAATGAAAGAGGAATTTTGAAATAATGCTTCGCAATAAGCAGTTACTTTGTCCCAAATTTGACAAAATCAGCTCAAAAACATCGCTGATATATTATTAACTTGCAAGTGAATACTTCGACCTGATGTGAATCCGTATTCAAGTAAACTTCAATTTAGCTCCTTAGGTGGAAATGGGCTACACAAGCATTAGGTGTATTCAACAATAAAAAGGAAAAGAATAACAAAATTGAAAGTGAAACAAGGGTGAACCATTTCGTTGACTGATTCGATCCACAAAACATCATTTTTTAACAGGTAATACAAGAATTAACTTTTTTTTTAACCTATAACATGACATCAAACAGACCTAGACAATTATTATAGCACGTGATTCCTATTTATCTATATTTATGTTTACATCGTATTATATGACCATCGACAGTCTTTGGTAGTAATCGCAATAGTTAATTAGACGGTGTCTAGACTAAATATGCAAACAATGCTGATATATATATGATGGAGATCATGCATGGTTATTTGTTTATCTTAAACTTATTGTAATTTGGATATGTTTTAGCATGTAATAAATCAAATATGAGAACTTAAGTCAAATAGGTGGACATGAATTTGACAGCTTATGTCCTATTTAGACAACATCACAGTTTTTGTAATCACTTAACTTTTTGATTGCCTTGGCTTTGTACCTTGGTTTTTATTCTTATATGCTTACTGTTAACACACTTAAAATGAACCGTTAATTAGTGCATTGAACATAAATAATTACAATAAACTGTTAACACAGAGATATGTCTCGCCTATTTGTTATTTTGATAATGCAAATGTTGAAATTAAAATAGCAATACTTTAATATGTAAGTTGTGCAAATATTCAAAGTCAATGAACCATGACTGAAGGTACAGGGCTAAACAATCTCCATGGAAATGAGGTGTGCCAATGCTAATACAACTGCATACCAAATACCACTGAAATCTCATAAGTCGTTGCCTTTAAACAAACCTCAACACAAACATTAACTTGTAAACTATGTAAAAGTTTCAAAGTCTATGAACTATAATGAGGGTGTGGGGTTATATAATCTCCATGGTTATAAAACTTGCAAATGCCAATACATTTGCATACCGAAATAGCATTGACTTAACATTAGTTGTTCATCTTAAAATGAACTGATAAAAAACTAATACATGTAAACTAAGCAAAAGTTTCAAAGTCAATTTACCTGACTGAGGGGGCGGGCCCAAATAATCTCCATGGAAATGAGATATGCCGATGCTTAAACAACTGCATACCAAATATCATTGACCTACAACTTGTGGTTCCCCATTAACTGACATAATCACAAACCAATACATGTAAACTAAGCAAAAGTTTCAAAGTCAATAGACCATCACGGAGGGGGCAGGGTCATATAATCTCCATGGAAATGAGATGTGCCAATGCTAATACAACTGCATACCAAATATCACTGACCTACCATATTGGTTCCTCGTAAACTGATCTAATTACAAACTAATACATGCAAACTAAGCAAAGTTTCAAAGTGAATAGACCATGACTGAGGGAGCGGGGCCAAATAATCTCCATGGCAATGAGATGTGCCAATGCTAATACATCTGCATACCAAATATCAGTGGCCTACCACTAGTGGTTCACCATAAACTAGACCTTATTACAAACAAATACATTGATGACGCCGCCGCCGCCGCCGGAAACAGCATACCTATGTCTCGCTTTTTGACTACGTCAAGGCGAGACAAAAAGTAATGCAAAATACGTCTAAGATAATCTCTATAAAACATTGCATGATTTGAGGAAGAAAGTCCTTAATGTTACGAACTATTCAACAGAGAAACTCCCTTATCGACACAACTTCCTTTGCTAATATGTCTAGTTAATATGGATTACCTTGTTAAAAACCCACAGTAAAGGATCTCTGGAGAAATGTGTATTTCCACTAACACACACCCAATCAGAAATTTGTTTCGCCTTTGAAATTGGTACCACACATGGAGATCTGCCACAAACTTCTCCGACTTCAATGTGGAAGAGATTCGACACATGTACTTGTTGGTGGTTCTTTCCTATGCTGATTAGATAAAACTTCAAAACAGCTTGTAAAGTAACGGTCAAGCACTCTTGAATACTGGCTGCGATATCTGGGGCGATGCAAGACCTAGATGACATGTTTGTAAGATAGACGACAATTCTCTTGTCTTCTACCATTATTCGAAACTCGGTTTGGCTGTCAACACATAGTACAGCTGAGGAATGGTATAATAATGGACGTTCGTTCACCTCTTTGATAGGCCAAATACCACTAACAGCACCTTTCAGTTTGAAAGACAATGCCGACGGTATGGATGACTTTCGTATTTGATAGACCAACGCAATTGTTCTGTTTGCAAATGATTTGTCATCCAGAAAGGACATCGGCATCTTGTGTTTAACTGTGCATGGAACTAAAAAATAATCTACGTGTGTGTCATCCTGGCCAGAGTATCGTTTTGGCAGGACCAAAACATCGAGATGCACAAGAACCTGAATAATAAACTCTTTGTAGTCATCATCTGGTATATGATGAACGAATTGTTTCTGTTGCCATAGTTTAATGAGATCGGTTTTATGTATTTTACCAGTTTCTGTCATTCTTCTCAGAATATTTCTAAGGGTCTCATCTTTGGGCCAAAATGTTTCATCTGTGATAAAGGACCTCAGAATATTGATCAATGCAGGAGGATACAGAATGATGAAATTGTTAAGTTCTGGTTGATTGAAGTACATGATCTTGCCCAATGCGTGTTGTGTTAAGAGAAAATCGTCCAGTTGTTTGTCAGAGAGTGATAAATCTTTATTCATTGTGTTTGCTTCAGCTAAATATGCTTTTGGTATAATATGAATATTATCTTTGATCATATTATCGATCAAAAGCTCAATTGGGACCCAAATTATTGGACGCCGTAGTCCCCAAGATGGCTTGTTCCGGGCAATAGTGACAAGTTGGTTTTTCAAATTCTGAATTTCTTGATCGTCTTTGTCTGTACCATTTATAAAGAAAACTGGATCGAAAACAATGTGTTTATTCATTTCATGGGAACCAAACATTTCAGTGACTCTCTGTACAAATTCCCTAGTCATTTTCTTTTGCATATCCTAGTGAGTAAACAATACATAACACTAACAAATAAGTTTAACTACATCTTATGTTTTAGCATTGTACAAGGTCCTGTTTTTTTTCTTGATTATTAATGACCTCTTAACTCTACATCCAGTGGATGTTTAACGATTCATAATTTTCTCTTGGAAAATGATTTATTAAAAGTCAGAATTCGGAATTGGCTTTCAAATAGCGTTCTTAACTGCGAATATTGACCGGTCGGTACTTTGTGCAATTAGTCTATTCGAATTTATTTGTGTGTTGATCTGAAGAGTTATACCTTTTTTAACTGATTTGTACAGATAGTAATTATGGTGTGCTGTTACATCACTGTCCTAGGTTCGGGGAGTGTTCTATCGCTTACAAACATGATTAGCCCAGCAATAATATACAAGTGTCTGTTTCAAGAATGAACCTTTAAAATGGTTTTGTACTTTGTCATTTTTACGCATTGTATAGCGGTACGGTGTGAAAAATGTTTATTGTTGAATAAGCACCGATTTAATGAAATGAGATCACCATTACAAATAAACAGGTTAACTGAATTAATGCTTACATCCGAGAGAATGTCCCTATGCGCTGCAGCAAACAAGATCGTTGGCATGACATCACTATCATCAACACAGTAGGTGAGTATTGAGTTGACCCAATGTTTCACAATAGCTAGAAAAAATACGGATTCTCAAATAAGTTTCCCTCTTGCATATGCCTTTTTAATAATTTATTTATATTTTAGCGGTAATAAGGAGTTGAATTATACTGTTTATCTAGTTTTATTTTAACACAAATTCATACTATAAATATACAAGTACTTGAAAACTGGAAATGTATAATTATTCGAACGATAACGTTTCATCTCATTAATTTCATTACAATAGCCATTTTAGACGTATTTAATCCTATGATTTATTCTGCACACACAAACAGTAAAGTGATAATTTTAAAAGTAAGACAGACACATCCAGCCCAGAGAAAAGTGATTTTGACAGGCAGATTGTCGTGATTATGATAAAACTAGTCTATATTTGGAATATTTCATCTTTGTAATATTTCACTTGAACATGTTAGATAGCATGAAATTTTAACAAATGAGAGTACAAATAGGGTCAAAGGTGTATGTGCAGCTTCCCATAATAGGTGTAATACCATCATTGTTTCCCCCTATTGGTCTGTGTTAAATTTGAACTGTAAAAAAAATGTGCAGAATTTATCTTTATTTCAAATAAAGAAATAATCGCATGAGAAAGTTTTATCATGTCCAGACAAAATTTCACATAACATTTCATTGCATAAAAGATAATAACCATCACTGGAAGTTAACCAATCAACTTTTCACCCCTTATTTTCCTATGTACAAGCTTTGGTAACCATGTAACCTCAAGTTTCCGAAATATTCTTTAGAAACACCAAATAAAAGAGAATGGTGCTTTGAAACACCCAAGACATATGTTTATGACTCAGAAATGTTTTACTGCAATGAAATGTAGGATTATTTCCTACAACTGTCAAATTGTAGGGAATATTTTTTCGACCCTATTTCGTACGCAACCGGATGTTACGTACTATGATTTGGTGGAATTACACATACAGTTCGATGTACTGTTAATTCAGAAATGATTAACATGATTAAGTACATTTATTATTGACAATTTTTGAAGAATGAAAAAAAAAGCGAGATTAACTATTTTAATTCTAGGAAAAGCTTCCAACAGATATATTTACCAGATATCAGAATGCGAGTTCCTGTCGTTGCGATACATTTGGAGTCGCATTATTTGCACCCATAAAAACCTTGCAATAATTTCTGAACTTCACAGTAAACATTTCAGCAGATACTTGTGTGATTTGAACACAATTACATGAAGAGCTTTTGAAATCCTTTTTTAAAAGTGTATATATTCGGGCTTACGGCACGTGTTTTCTCTTTCTATATCAGTTTTGGTAACTGGTCTGTTTGCAACTGACTTAAATCATTGCTTTAGCACCAACACAATATCCTATTTTGTCAAAAAACGGTCTCGACACCACAACCATCCCAATGATTTTCATATTGATCTCATTTTGTCTGCAAGTCACTTGACTATGTTAGAGATACCACATGATCAAGGAGACACTTTTTTTTTTTAAATTTAATTTTCACAAACGTTGAATCATTTATCTTATATATGGGTCCGGTATTATCTTTGTATGAGCCTTTGTTCAAATGTTATATCTGAATCAAATTATACGGTGTCTTTTCAATCAGTCAATGTCTAAAATTACATTACGTGAAAAAGTTTACCAATTCTTATGAGATTTTAACATAAGGATTGACAGATTGAAAACACCATTTTAATTTCAAACTTTTGATTGTGTCATGTCAGAATAACTGGACTTAAACTTTTTGGTTTAAGGTGGTAATACAAGAACCCTTTTTTTACAGAAATTTTCTGGTTTTTTGCTTATAAGCATTAATTTAACCATTAGATTTAAGAAAATTTAAACATATCGCATACGAATAACAGGGATTATCATGTGTATTAAAATTATGTCATAAATCTAATTTATTGTTTGGATTGGAAACGGCAAGCTCTCTTTTGACTTCTGTCTGTTTTGTTTCTGTTTAACCGTCTTGGTGCCGCTAATTTTATATACTAGTAATATTTCGTGTGCCAGAAAATACGACAGCTGGACGTCTTTGACGTCACATTCTCAACAACGCCGTCATTCGATATATGAGGTCACACCCTAATGACATGAAATTGGGAGCCAACTGAAGAAAAATATTTCACTCTCATTCTTCAATCTTTGGTATTTTATTGAAAAGATATACAGCAATGATTACAAGCTTGCATGATTAAACATATGACCATCTGTGTACCTCCGGCACAGCCACAACTCCTTATTTTATATTTAATGTCGTACATACCTGCTAGATTAATTGTATCTCCTTTTTTGGCGATGCCATCAAGAAAAACAATGAATGGCACTTTATGTGTGAATTAAATGAAAGAATGATGCGAACAATCAAGATATAACTTTGAATTAACTTTGTCTTTTATTGAAAGTTTAACAATCTTGTTTAGTTCGTGATTGAGATTTGCCCTCGTTTAATTGTAAGGTTATTTCTATTTTCGTTGATATCAAGGCGCGTCAAGGGATTGTAAAGGAGTTACTAGCTATTTTAGATATTATATATTATTTATGAAATTCTTGTTCCTTTTGGTAGATATATTTATCATGGATTGTCATAAGGTTTTACCTACATTCATTAGAAATATCTCATATAGGATATTCTGTCAGAGGTTCCTGAAAATCCTTACTGCCATCAAACATCACTACAAATGTACCACCGTGCTGAACAAATAACTGATGGGTCATATCATACGATCGTTGACCGCCAAAGTCAACTAAATCTGAAGGTGCAATCTTAACTTTGTATTGACCACTCTCAACTTCTTTTAAAATGTCATCATGCACAGCATAGGCTTCAACTTTTTTCACGTGAGGCAGACTAATCGATGTATTATTTTTGATTTCAGATATACTGGTCTTTTCACGCGGCAAGACTTCATTTTCTCCAATGTCAGCCTCGGTTAATACAGAAACTTTTGAACTGAAACTGAAATTATCATCAAACTTAGTAACTTGAAGATTTAATTCTGTCAAATCATTAGAGGATGGCGCATAGCACAGGTCCTGTTGGTTATCAACAGTTTGACGTGTAGTGATCTCACGATTTGGTTTTCCAATTACTAACTTGGTCAACACATTATGACCTCTATCTTCTGCAAAAAAAATGTTTTATTATGAATCCGTCATTAAATGAAACATTAATGATACAGACTATGAATGTGCTAATCAAACAAAATGTGCAATGCATTAATGTTAATGACAAAGAAAGTAATAGTTTTCCTTAGGGCGCGTTAGGTAGACTAACTATAAATAAACTGTTAATACAGAGATATGTCTCGCCTAATTGATATTTCGATAATTCAAATGTTGAAATTATAATAGCAATACTTTAATATGCCATTTATGCAAGTATTCAAAGTCAATGAACCATGATTGAAGGTACAGGGCTGAATAATCTCAGTGAAAATGAGATGTTCCAATGCCAATACAATTGCATATCAAATACCACTGAAATATCATATGTCGTTCCCTTTAAACAACCCTATACACAAACATTAACTTGTAAACTATATAAAAGTTTCAAAGTCAATGAACCATAATGAGGGTGTATGGTTATATAATCTCCATGGAAATGAAACTTGCAAATGCTTATAAACTGCATACCAAATATCATTGACCTACCACTAGTGGTTCATCTTAAAATGACCTAATCACAACTGATACATGTAAACTAAGCAAAGTTTCCAAGTCGATAGAACACTACTGAGGGGGCGGGAGCAAATAATCTTCATAGTAATAAGATTTGCCAAGGCTATTACAACTGCATACCAAATATCAATGGCATACCACTAGTGGTACACCATAACAAAGACCTAATCACAAACTAATAAATTGTTGACGCCGCCACAACCACCGCCGACGCCGGAAACAGCATACCAATGGCTCGCTTTTTGACGCCATTAAGGCGAGACAAAAAATGTCAGATAACGAACAAATTGATTGTTACTCAATGTAGAGGCAGTAAATCCATCTCAATGCAGATGACTACCATTTTTAGTACAATATAAGTCAAGTATGTTAGTGTCTTAAATCCAAATATAAGTTAATGTTTGAAAAACGATAACAGAGAGAGAAAACAACTATCAAAATATTTATAAAAAACCTAGACAAGACCAGTAGAAAAGAAAACTACAAGGTCTTAAACCATGGGCTGGTGGTCAATCATATTAAGTAGCCAGGAATCTGATGTTGAGTAGTTGTCGTTTGTTGATGTGGTTCATAAGTGTTTCTCGTTTCTCGTTTTTTATATAGATTAGACCGTTGGTTTTCCCGTTTGAATGGTTTTACATTAGTAATTTTTTGGGGCCCTTTATAGCTTACTGTTCGGTGTGAGCCAAGGCTTCGTGTTGAAAACCGTACTGTGACCTATTATGGTTTACTTTTATAAATTTTGACTTGGATGGAGAGTTGTCTCATTGGCACTCATACCATATCTTCTTATATCTAATTAGTTTAACTAATGTTTAATAATATGTGTTAACAGCATCATGCATCACAACTGTACCTGTACTTGTGCAAGTAAATGTCTTCTATCCCGTATCAATATCCTACATTGCATAATCCGTTTCAAGATTGAAATAATTTTTTAGTCATTAAATTTTCAAAAAGTTAGAAACCATCTACATGTATCATTAACTGTTTATTTCTGCTATTCAAACATTATAAAATATTTTGTTAGAAATTCATGTAGGAAAAGGGGAGTACTTAAAAAAATGACGTTTAGTCGAATTAGGTTGTAAAACCATTAAACGATTTATCTTCAGGTAAATATCCATAATACACTTTAAGTTTATATCAATCTACAACTGATAAAAAAACTAATAGTGTTACAAACATGACAAAGTTTAAGACAAAACCATGTTCTTGTCTCATGGAAATTGTCTTGACCATATCTTTTTTTCTATTTTTCTTATTTAAAACTTTTATGTGTATTTCATCGTGATTCGAAAGGTCTTTTTCAATAAGTGAAAATAAGATAATGAAAATCAAATCAAATTGGTAAAAATTAAAAAACTTATTTCTTTTCAATGTTTTTCTTTTATTAATACAGATAAATCATATGACTTTGTGTGAACAAACAATCAATCAAGTTTTAATCTAATAATGATCAAATAATATATAGAATATGTATTAAACATGATAAAACAATCTGTCAATGTTGCTTATTTAAATTTTAATTCAATTCAAAGAAATATAGATAAAAAGGCAGACAATCACAGGGAAATATGTGACACAGTTGATAAGACAAAATGGCAAAGATAAGTTATTTACACACACGTGACTGTGTTAATGTTTTGCAGACGTTGCCTCATATACACACTGTATCACCTGAATTATAGCAATATACTAGGACAATTAAAAACCAGTCTAAACAAATGATCTGCAATGCTTTCCTTCATAAAAAGGGTACGATAGAATACAAATATATTATTTTTTGTATAATGCTGCAAATTTTGTTAAAACGAGCCCGGGAATAAAACATGCTACACCAAAGAATACATGATAAGTATACTGAGGTTCTCATTGACAACATTTTGTTGAAATTGAAAGAAATGTTTTCCAGCAGGTTGTTATCATTGCTAAGGAAACCCAACTGCGTGCCTGTCTCGGCCGACCTTTCCTTATTTTCATATGAGTCCTTCAGACACTTGTTGAAAACAAAAAAAAATCAAAGAAGCTAGATCATTTAATTCCACCTGCTTATGATGTTTTTTTCCATCAATTACCAAATTGTTCTAATTGGGTTCAAATAATATATCTTTCTGAACTAGAAAATTAAAAAAAACACATATACAACTTCCTCTGCCTCATTTCTTAACATACATATCGAATCTGACTTCAGCGGTCATTTCAGTACCAGATTCTATGACTAATGAGACGATTTCAAAATAATAATTTTTCCTCTCCCTAGTAACAATATACTTACTTCACCCGCTGACGGAATATAATTTTTTTCTAACTCAGACAATTTTGAAGAGCATGTAGCTGCACTCCGATATTGTAAAACGTCACCAGAGTCTGAACTAAAATGCCCTTTAAAGTGACTATATATTGATTTCATGTAATGTTATTTCAAGGACATGTACACCTCCATAGTTTTCAATGTAGAAAATATAAGATACAGTCTACCACATTAGTTGCAAGATCATCATTTTCATCAATTCTTGTCTCGCTACGATAACAATCGTAGAATGACAGACATAGGAACTGCAATCCAGTGAAGGCGGCGACGGCGTAAACTTTTTGTGTAAAGCTTTATATTTCAGATGGTAGAAAACCTAGAAAAATCATTCTTTGTATGCAGATACTTTCAGTTACAAAGTTTCCGTCTGTCATATGTGCATTTCCCTTGAATTCATTTTTTTTTATGGTTCAGTACTGTTTAATAGAAAATAACTATTTTTTTGTTATGTGAAATTCTCAATAATAAAGAGTAACAGGACATCTATATTTGGTGTATGAATTCCTTGTAAAGCCTTCATGTCTGTCAGGAAGGGTTTATCTGACCGCAACCTCATTTCAAGGATAAGCGATCAAGGTGAAGTTTTTGTATCGCAGATACTATAACCATCTGGTCAACTGTATTTGATATATGGAATGATTGTAAGGTTTTATCTGACCTTGACCTAAATTTCATGGTTCATTGGACAAGGTTTAGTGTTGGTGGTTTGGTGTATTTCTCGGATACTATTGGCAATAAGCCACCATTGGGTACAGAATCATTCTAAGGTATATGCCTGTCCGGCTAAGTGATTTGACCTTGACCTCATTTGTATCGTTCATTGGTTAAGGATAAGTTTTCTTGGTTTTGTTACTTGAAAAGATACAAAAAGCAATAGGTCAACTATATTTGGTAAATGAAAAGAAAGTATGGTGAACATGTCTGGATGGCAGGCTTTATATGCCATTGGCCTTATTTTTATGGTTCATTAGTCAATGTATATCACATAAAATGATGAAACCTTACACATTTTGCATTCATTTGTTAACATAAATTTCACGTATAAGTATAAATATCCTTTTTTTTTATGTACATGCATAATTGGTATCGACCTGTTTTTGTGGTTTGATTGCTCTTAGCATAATAGATGTATTTGAATACTACCAGAATTAAGATGACATTTTGTGGCATTATAATTTTCAGTTTCTAACCTAGTATGTGTCTCTCCATTATACCACACCGTACAGAATAAAACCAAAGAATACTTCAAAATGCAGCTGTTCGTCATTTTCAATCGATTTATGACTTTTGAAAACCGGTATAATACTGTAGCCTTTATTCATCAACATCAAAATCCGAATATCTGATAAATAAATCTATTCCTCCATGATACTATTAATGATGATTGTACACATGTACAGATATAGGTTGCACTTTATAAATACAACTGATTCCATAAAACCACGACTCTTTTGGGGAGAAAATTACCATTCATAGAGATTTTGTTATGTTACCTGCTAATTCCCATACATAATCTCCATGTTTTATCTCATAGAGACACAAACTTCGAATTGTACCACTACAAATACTATTGGATAGCGGAAAATTGCATTTTAAGGAGGTCTCAAAGTAAAGGGAGGGGTATAAGAGAATTTTAGTATGAGATTAGACTTTTAGAAATTCAATGTATGGACATGTTGAATTTGATCCGGTTAATCTCCAATTGTTTTTAATTCTAAGTCAAAACTACTTAAAACAGTTTGAGATGAGTTGTATTAGCAATAGACTTTTATTTACATTCAGTCGATACAATCTAAACTGGAAGTAAGCAAACAATTAAGATTTTTGATATCACTTGATGCAGGTTCAAAATAAAACCAAAATATCTTGACAGAACAGATTAACTTTTAAGTTATCGATTTCATATGTGTTGTCTGAATAATTAGAATGCTTCAATATTAATAGAAATGAATTCTAGATATGTCTTTTATAAGTATCAAAAATGGTAGGTATAGTTAATATCGATATATTGCTTTTATTTTTTTTTAGTCAATTTCGTGAGATTTCATTTCATATATGAACATTACATATATATTTTTTCGTAAGGGCAGTATAACCTTTGTTACAAAATTTTAAAGTGTTGATAATATGTTACCAGTGAACTTACATTAGTATTTTTGAAAGTAAAATGCAGCAGCTTTACCTTTATGTGAATGATAGTTGTTTCATTGACAATATTAGACCAGTCATTTATATCATATTGAATCTGAAATATTGTGTAACAATGCAATGTTAAATAAAACGATATTGTTTAAAAGTGTAACTGTTAAATGGCGATAGATACTTATTCAAAGGACATCAAAACTCATCACTCAAAATAAGTTAACAACGCCATGGGTAAAAAGACAAAGACAAATAGACAAAAAAAAAACAGTACACATAACACAACATAGAAAACGAAAGACTGAGCAACACAAACACCACCAAACAACAGGGGTGATCTCAGGTGCTCTGAAAGGATAAAACGGGAAGGGATTGTAGCTACGACAATAGGAACATTTCCGTCGCCTTCTGTGAAACAGATACTCAATAACGGTCAACCATCGTGTGATGGCGTCCGTAAAATTAACGAAAGGATGATTTCAATTTGACTACTTGGAACTCTTGGTTAAATAGCTTCATTGTGAGCAGCAAGCCTCTATCAAGGAAATCATGAAAGAAAATACAAGCCCTGGAATATCGTATCAATATAGTAAACGCAAAGATTACCATATTTGTTTTTTTATTTGTGAAAATATCAACAGTTTTATCGTTGGCAATACATGAACTTTTTACGCCTTTCTTGAAAATTATAATGCTATATGAATTAACAATATCCACTTCTTACAATTTTCAAACTACATTACCTTCTTTTAAAGGGACCATCTCAAAACTTTCCAAGTTGATACCATTTCGACCAAAGTGTATAACTAATCCATCTGTTGATTTCCATGTAAGTGGTATTTGGCTACCAATCAGAACACTTGCAAGGGTGGACTTTCCACATGCGCAACTTCCACAAAGGAAAACTCTATTTTCAAACGACTCATATGTTCCAGTGGATAGCAGTTTTCGAAAATCTTCAGACGTTCCAGCAAAAGGAAGCAGATCAGGATCTATTAAGGTAGATGGGGTGTGTAAATTATAATCCATAGAATATTTTAATTATTTGCCAAAATGTAGTTTATACCATGCTTTTTTAAAAAAAATAATAAAAAGAATGGGTCACGGGCCTTATTTTTACGCTACAGGTTGTGCAAAATTGACAGATTTTGTATAGATTATGCATGGAAAACCCAATTTTCTGCCATAAAATGAAAACTACACCATAGAATTTTGAGATAAAATATGAGAAGATAGCTCTAATAGTATGATTTCAGATAAGAAAAAGACAAAATGGGGTCACCGGACCCGTTTTCTTGCTACATAATAAAATAGGTAAATTCCTAACACATTCTATTGTAAAAGTAACTTTATGTGAATTATCTGCCCTTACATTTGAGTTGCCTCCCCTTATGTGGCAAAGTTGGAAAGTATAGAATCAAACAAAAGTATTCTGTTTTTTTTGTAAAATACAACCATAAATATGATAAAATATGTCATTTTCTATATTGAAATGAAAATTCTTACACATGAATTACCTACTACTCTCAAAATTTGCACCTTTTATTATAGATCTAGACCGATTGTTTTCTGGTATTTCAAAATCCAAGATGGAGGAAGACACCCTATCTACCTTAACAAATACAATCAGAATCAAATTGGTTTATTGGTTTTTCATAATTCATATGTGGATATTTTCATTATTTTATTAAGGAATCCGGTGATATAGATTCGTGAATTTAAGCAAACTGTTAAATAGTAAAAAGAAAGGATAACTCGATTTTTTTTAGTTTGTGAAAATATCAACAGCAGAATTCGTTTGAAATATATGAACTGTTAATGTTTATCTTGGAAATGCTACCAATGATAACTTTCTAACAGAAAGCAGTTAATCAGGATTTACTAAAGAATAAACTGGGAATCATTATCAGTTCATTGTTACGAATCAGGTGCTATATGTTTTCTGATATGGTTTTACTCCTTGTCCCGTTTACTTTTATCAGCTCTCCAAAGTTTGTTTAAGTTTTTTTATTCTTCTTGAAAGTGCCTATGTGTCTAACAATAATATTTAGTATGGTTTTAATCAACTGATAACAAAATCAATATTTATTCAAATAAAGACAACAAACCAGTATAATTACAGTTTGAAATGGTAACCTTTTAAAACAAGTTTATTCAAACAATTCGTAGCTTTATCCGGATCTTATCTGAATTTCCAGCCTCGGTAAACATCATTAGAAAAGAAATTTAGGAAGTACTTTTCCGTTTTGAATAAGTTTTCTACAGGTACATGAGGTACAGACCAACTTGCAAACCAAACATTTATATCTCAATTGAAGAATTAAGTAATTTGTTGTAACAAATCCATGTATTACTAGTTATACATAACAATGTAGGGTACGCTCATTGAAATCCAAAACGTCATTACAGACACGGGCATAGCGAACGAGTTTGGATATATAAACACCGTAAGACGGTGCCAAAGGAAATTCACCGTCCAAAAAAGGGGAAAAACAAAAGGGTAAGACAAACCATCGCTTTTGTAGTTAATTTTTGTGTAGTTTTTCTGGTGTAAAACTAAAATACCTAAACTTCGGAAAGGACAATTGTTACTTACATTTAGACGACAGACATGTGGTTCGGTCAAACTAGACTCAATAACTGCGCATGAATCAAATAAGGGTGATGAATATGTTAAACACAACGTTAAGAGCATTTGTATTTGTTATGTTTCTACATGTTCTATACCGAAAATTAAAAAAAACAAAATCCGATATCAATGGCACCATTCAAAACAAGCATATGTTTTTAAACTTAAGCTACTCCGTCTGTCATAAAAATACAACATTAACACAATAACCATAAATACATGAATATTACACAGCAAAAATTGCATACCCGTTTTTCATGCGTAGAACAGGCGTTTTACGTATGTTATAAAACATACGTAAAACGCATGTTGAGGACAACGCATGTAAAACCCATCTAAGAAACGTATGAATTACGCATGTTAAACACACGTAAAACGTGCGTTGACGTAAAACATACGTTAAATGGTTATGTATAACGCCCGTTTAACGGGTTAACGCACGTCAAACGCCTGTTAATTTCTGGCAAATCATGCGTTTTACGTATGTTTTTTTTGTCCTCAACACCCGTTATACGTATGTTTTTTTTTTTTATCTCAACACCCGTTTTACGTATGTTTTTTTTTTTTCCACAGCACCCTAAATATGTATGTTTTTTTTGGTCCTCAACACCAATTTTATGAATGTTTTTTTTGTACAGTAACAGTAACAACACCTGTTTAACCTGTTTAACATGTTTTTTGTAGTCCACAACACCCAAATACATTATGATTTTTTGAGTTTTTTTCTGGTTGATTACGAATAAACCATAAATACTTGTCTTTTCTTTATGTACACACTTAACAATTTGAATATTTTTTTGACATATACATAAATCAATGGTGGAATTGAAGTACAGTATATTATTGTAATATTTAGTCGGAAATCAAAATGACTACATTTACATATGATGGTGTTGTCTATCCTTTTCAAACTTGATTGCCCCCCTTCAATAACTTTTTTTGGCAAAGCATACATTTAGTGTGTTCTATCTTACAATAAGAATGGATCCAGTTTCAGTTGCAAAAAATGTTAATAAAAAAACTAAATTCAATTTTTCAGAATACCGTATCTGATATGATATGCCATATTTGAAATATTAAGTTCACTATGATTGATTGTGTTTTTTTTTTCATTGTTGCTGTAGTTTAAAACCAATTATTTATGTTCAATCTTATTTCATGTATGCTATTCATTTTGCTACATACATGTATGCTAGGGGAAATTATAAATGCAATCACTGGGTGGCTTATCAAGAATTTTCAACAAATTTCTTTAGTCTCCTCAGATCATTTTGCACTGAATTCCACTCCTTAATAAATCTTAAGTTAAATTTAAACATCTTTTACTTTCAAACCTTTGACAAAATTTCTGATTTCATAATACATTTAAATTTGTAAAGATAAAAAGGAAAACCATCACACAACCTATGAAAATCAAGAGCTAATTATGGATATTCAACCAATAAATATAAAGTAATTTTTTAGTGTTCCTGATGTTAAAGCCATAATGATAAATTCAGAAAAGAAAACATCAAATGTAGCACATTCAGAACAATATTCTATGACTTCCTATACAAATGATCTGTATTCATAAACCTAAATCCATAAAGCACCCTCACGAGAAAGATTATCAACTGCCATTTAGAACAGACTATTTGCCCTCAAGATATCTTTTGGTTATTATGCTTCTGTCTTATTGACTTATACGCAATATCTCTTTTTTTACAATACATGTTATACTCAGTATAATATTCTATTGAAAAGAAAAGAATATGCTTAAGCCAGTGTGAAGAAGAGAAGGTATTAGGGATTAGACATTATCATTTTCTGTTGGTCAGAAATTTTGTTCACCACATTTGTGATTAGGATGGATTGATTGATTGTTGGTTAATTAGCGTCCAGTGGCAAATGATTTGGATGAAATGACCAATGATGGATCCATTAAAGTTATTGACAACAGTCCACATGATCCTTTAAATATAATATTGGTCTTAAACACAGAATTTGCTAAAAGACCTCAACATATGGTGGTCATAAAAACCTTAAAAATTTAGTTATTTCAATTCTATTTATTTAGAAACTACATTTTTTTTGGGGACAAGATATTCACAATTATATAACATGTGCACCATAATTCTAATTTCATTTGCATTATATGTTATTAATGTACTTTTGGTTGACAAATATACACTCCAAATTTATTCTACGCTGCTCTTGGTCTCTTGTTCACACAACTGTATAGCTGTTAGTATTATTTAAGACTGCTCTCCTGTTTACTATTTTATAATTTTCGCACATGAATTCCTTCATTTATTTGCACTTCTCCTTGTAAGATTCCAATGATCATGATGATATAATCCTTTTGTTCATCATCAGCAAATATATTCTTGAAAAATTTTCTAAAGCAGCTGTAATGTAAAAACAAAAGAAGATATATTTTGGTGAGCAATCAATTTTTTTTTAAAATGGAATAACAAAGTTACGTATACCTACATTTTAATTTTTATTGAAATCCCAGTATAAATAGATGTTTTTTAAACAAGAGTGCAGACGCTGAAATGTCTTAACTGCTGTACTTATCTTGAAAGTCTGATATATATCAGTGAATCATACCATACACCAAATATAGCCTTTTGCTCATAGCATCTGAGAAACAGACCTAATTAGAAAACTGAACATTGACTTATGTCAGTAACTGCTAGTAGTCCTTTGTTAATTTATGTATCATTGTAATTTTGCTTAGTTTCTTTTGTTACCTATTCTGATATCGGACTAAGACTTCTTTTAAACCGTTTTACCGTGCGTTTTGCTGTGCGTTTGTTTTTTCTACTTTGGCTAGAGGTTAGGGGGAAGGTTGAGATCTCACAAAACATGTTTAACCCCGCCGTATTTTTGCGCCTGTCCCAAGTCAGGAGCCTCTGGCCTTTGTTAGTCTTGTATGATTTTTAATTTTAGTTCGTTTATATGTTTTGGAGTTTAGTATGACGTCCATTATCACTGAACTAGTACACATTTTTGTTTAGAGGCCAGCTAAAGCACACCTCCGGGTGCGGGATTTTTTCGCTGTGTTGAAGACCCATTGGTGGCCTTCGGCTGTTTTCTGCTCTTTGATCGGGTTATTGTCTCTTTGACACATTCATCATTTCCATTCCCAATTTTATTTTACTTATGAACCATAAAAATGAGGTCCAGGTCAGATGCAGACAACACCTTCACCATGCAATCAATCCTAGCTACACATATAGTTGATCTATTGATTATAGTATCTGAGAAACAGACATAACCATTAAAATTAACATTGACCAATGAACCATGAAAATGAGGTCAAGGTCAGATGACACCTGCCAGACAGACAGGTACACCTTACAACATTCCATACAATAA